AGGGGCGTGCGGGCGGGCACTTCCCCCCCCCCGCTCCCCGCCGCGCCTTACGGGACGCGTCACCTTCCTGCAAAACCTCCCGACTGATGAAAAAAGGGTTTTTCACCTTTGGTGCCATGGGAGGGTGATGGATCTGCCCTCTCCTCTTGGAAAAAAAGACGCCTCGCTGGGTTTTCTTGTAACTCTCTCCGTTTTTCATAGCAAAGCCACGGAATTTCGGTTGGAGGGAGGAACCAAACGCACGTGGATGTGGCACCACCAGCACCGCTCCCCACTTACCCCCGTTCTTCGAACACAAGGTTAAAGCACGCCCTATGCCAGGCTCCATGGAAGTGATAAACTTTTAATAAAACCTCAGGTCTTAGCCCTCTCCTAACGCAGCGGGAGTTAAACCAGCTCGGAGAATTAGCAGAATGCTCATCTCCAACCCGAAAGTTGGGTGATAGGGTGCCCCAAAAAGCAGGTAATTAAATCATTATAGGAAAATAAATGGGAATATTGCCCTGTCCCCTCAAAAAAAAGGGAGACAAACCCCAAGTGGCTGCGGCCGGGAAAGAATAGGACGTCCCAAGCTGAGCCTGCTTTAACCACTTAAGCCCTTTAAGCCCCACCAGCAGGACTAAAGCCTCGTTGTCAAGTCCTCCTTCCACTTCCATGAGCTTCGTTATGATGATTATTAATATTCCTGTTCATTTTAGAGCTGGGCTACATGCCTGGAGGCCTCCAGGCTCTTTAAACCTAAGAACTCTTTGTGTAAGAGGGGACGGAATCGGTGCGACGCCGGCAATTCCCGCCCACCGGCCGCTGTGCCCTGCAGCCCAAACCCCAGATTTCCTGCAAACTCCCCGAATTTAGCGCAAACGCAACGAGCCAGGTCACTGGAAAGAAAGGAATTTGCTGGGAATAGATTTCTCGGGCAGATGCGTTCATTAAAAGAAAGGGGGATTTTACAATTTTGCAGGAGGGGGCTAGAGCTTTGCAAACTCTCGCATCCACGGTTGCTGCGCCCAGCTCTGCCCGAACGCGGTGGTTTATTTAAAAAAAAAATCTTTCTTTGGGTGTTTTTAGAGGATTTGAATTATTTTAACCTGTTTTAGAGTGGTTTCTTTAAAACCTCCTTTTTTTTGGTGTATGTTTTAACGTCGCCTTGCCTTGGGAATCCATTTTTTTCAAGCATCTTAACCCCATTTAGGGCGGTTTCTTTAAAAAAAAAACTTTTTGTGGGTGTTTAAGGGCACTTTATTTCAGGAATCCATTTTTTTTCAAGGATCTTAACCCAATTTAGGGCGGTTCCTTTAAAAAAAAAAATTTTGTGGGTGTTTAAGGGCACTTTACCTCAGGAATCCATTTGTTTCAAGCATTTTAACACGTTTTTGGGAGGTGCTTGAGAGCGAGTGCCCCTGGCTTCAACCTCCTGGAGGGTCCCCCTAAAAAGTCCTTTTGGGGTGTCGGGGTTGTGGCACAAGAAACCACAAAAGATGAAGGAAAGCTTGCGCGTAAAGAGATTATTTTGACCCTTTTTTTTGCTTTTTTCTCCAGTTTAAGGAACAATCCGTCTCTCAAGGTGTGCTTCCTGCCTCCTCTCGCTCGCTCAACCGAGCAAAGAGCCGGTGGTTAAACCAACAACGCCGGGGCTTGACCTCGTAGCCAAAATTCACGGCGTTTATTCACCTGGAGCGCCTTTTCCTGCTTGGGAAAGCACCCGGCCTCTGCTTATTTTCTTTTTTTTTTTCTCTTAAAAATTTGATCCAGCACTTAAATTAACCCCTGGGAACAGCAGGTATTCACTTGGGAGGATATATCAGACAGCAGCCTCCGGGGCTGGGCGCCTCCACACCAAACAGCCGTGACGCCACCGGTGGAACCCCACAAAGGCACCCCCAAAATCGTCACTTTTTGTCTTGCGAGACGCAGATCCATGCCTCCCTGAGCCAGCTTTTCCCATGGGAAACCACTCCGAGCTGCAATTCCTGCTTTACCCGCCACAACCCTCCATCCTCCGGCCACGGCGGCTCCGAACGGAGCCCGGAATGAGCTCGGCTGTAACGCTGGTGACAATAAAGGACAATTTTATGTAGGTAGGAACCTGCGATGGGACGGGTCACACTGATTTACGCCTCCTTTAAGAGGTGAGCAGAGCCCTGTGCAGATGCAGCACTGAAACGTCGCCCAAGCGACGCTTTTCCAAACCAGACATCCCGCTCCAGCTTTAGGGAGAATAAAAAAGGTGATAAAATGGGAGAACGTGTCGCTGCCAGGGGTTTGCGGGACTAATCCTTATTTAAGGCTCCGGCACATCAACCATCCTCCCTTCTGGGTACAGAACGGTGTTTCCTGGGGGTTTGGTGGCTCAGGAGGGTCCCTCACCCCCCAAAAAAAAAGAGGAGACCGGGGGGAACATCCCATGGGATGAGAGGCTCCGTTCCTGCTCAAGAAACCCTCCGGTCTGGGAGGTTTTCTTCTTCCAAATATTATCTTTTCTGCCTCCTTGCTGCTGGGGAGCACTGGAAGCTGATAAAACCCACCGTCCCCTCTACCTTGTTATAATTTTGGGGCGAGTTTTGGAGCTTGGTGCCCTCACCCCGACCCCACGCAGGCTCCCGAGCTGGTTTTTACAAGGGAAAAAGAAAAGCTGCAAAATAAAACCCCATCACCTCAGGAGCCTTTCTTCCCCTCCCGCTTGCCCGAAGTGCGATGGGAATAACCTACCTGGAATCGTTTCCATTTTTTCCCCCATTTCTTTCCCGGTTAAACCAAACCTTCGCTGCACGGGACCAAAAAAAAAGAAAAAAAAAACGAAAAAAAACCCACGCCACCACAAACCAACCCAACCCCAAACTTCCTCCTTTATCCACTCAGGCTTGTTAAACTCCCGAGGCTTAAGGAGCAGATTATAGAGAATATAAAGCACTTTCCTTTCCCTTTGGCTCTCATGACGGGAAGTTACCAAATCAAACGGGAGAGGTGAGCGCTTCGGGTGGCAGCGGGATGGAGAAAGGGGAGGGAGGACAAACTCCACAGGTTTGTATGATTTTACGAAGGGTTTTTGCTTTCCCACCCCGCAGCGAGGCAGGAAAACCTGAGATTTTTTTTTTTTCTGGGGGAAAAACCCCACTCAAATGAGGGGGAATGAGGGGCTGCTGCAGGGTTGAGGCTTTTTGGGGTGTTTTCCCTCCATAAAATGACTTTGCTTCCCAGTCCAGCCCAGTGTTATATCCTGGTGGCATTTATTGTCTGCAGAAAGGAGGGGACGTGGTCCTGCTCAAGCCTCCACCAAAGGCACGAAGGAGCCGCGAGCGAAGCCCGCTGCAAATAAAAAAATCTCTCCCCATGCAAAAAAAACCCACAAAACAACACCAAACCCTGGAAAATGTGTCCTTTAGTAGGGAAAAGCGAAGCTGAGCCCCTGCCTGCTCTGCTGAGCTGGCGACGTGTCCGCTCGAAAGAAACCCAAATGTGAGTTTCTGTAGGGGGCGGGTGGAAAAAAAAAACAAAAACACAAAAAAAATACCCCCTCAAACCAAAACAACCCAAAGCCCAAGAGATCGACAGCTACTTTGCTGTGTAAAATGTTAATCTTTGCTAAGGAGATTTAACGAGACCAGGCAAAGCCTCGGGCAAAAGCCTGTCGGGAACAAGGTGTGATGCCCGCAGGGATGTCTGCACCCCCAGGATCCCGATTTCCTGGTTAGAGACTTCCCAAGGGAAAGGGCGACCTCTTTTTGGGCCACCCGTCCCCTAAGCAGCCTCCAAATCCATCTCAAGGCTCTCGGATCCATCCGTGGGGGAAAAGAAATCTGGAAAGCATCAGGAAAAGCAGCGCCAAATGCAAATATAGCAAGTGGCATGAGGGCAATTTAATCCTGGATTAAAAAAAAAACCAACTGAAAAACCTTCTCGTTGCTTTTTCAAGGAGCCCGAGGGCGACTCACTGGTCCTGCTGGCGTTGT